TGTGACAATATTTAGTCAGTACATCTGACTGTGTATTTCCCTCATCCGCACACCCCTCGCTGCTCAGTACAAGGCAGCTGTTTTTATATTGATGCAACGCGGTACGTAGCAGCGGCTGCACGCTGACTGAGTGTGTTGTTCCCTCTCTGTTTAACAGGCCTTATAAGCTCTAAAATCATGTAGCAGTTCTGCGAGCTTGCTCGTTGGGACTGGAAATAGCCGGTATCAAACAGTGAGCTAAGTAATCCAACCCATCGCTTCCAGTTGTCTGGATTTCCCTCCTTTTCCTTTTACAGACACTACAGATAGAGTGTCTTATTCTCTCCGTCGCAATCATGAGACAGAAAATGTGTTTCTCATTGTTGCGGAACACATCCCAGCCTCCATAACCGTGAAGGATGAGGATATCCAAGGTCCCTTGTTAGTATGCAAAACGTTGCATCATATTTTTCACCATGTCTCATTTCCAATTGCAAATGGGGGGAAGGAATGAAAAATATGCAGCAGATTAGCGTGTTAAACAATTTGGTTCTGCTTAATAGTGACTCCTTTGATTTGGACCCGGGCCCCCGAGATGAGCGTGGATGAGGGATGATTGAGATGCACCGAGGAGCTTGTTGGCGTCTGCCTGCTCTGCTAAGCAGACCCACTTCACCATAATAAGAGGTCATCCCTGTTGGAGTGTGGAAATGTGTCTAATTAAAACAAAATGCTTTATCAAGGGCTGCGGCAAAGTGAGCGGCCACGGTGAAATAAATAGCTGGCAATTTCCTGAGATTCATATTCTGATAAGCATCTTATTAAAGCGGTCCACTATCTGTTGGGAACACTTTGCATTTTAAGAGGACTTCCGCTCATCTTTTCTCTCTTTTTTTGCTCTTTCCCTGGCGTCCACTTCCTCCTCCCTGTCTTTTCAGGGTTAGTTGTGTCTGTGTGTTTGTTGGTGGTTGTGTACACATGGGAGATAAACAGCACAACAAATTGGAAGACTACCTATTTGGTTTGTAATTTGAGATTTTGCTTACCTTGCAGTTAAGCAGCGGCGTAAATTACTTTGCGCTCTGGGCACAAAACACCTAATTGTTTTTCTATATTATCGTTATTCATCTTCTCTGACAGCTCAATCGTCGCTCTAATGCTTTGAAAGTTGGCCCATCAGTACTTTTGCCACTTTCTCTCTCCCTGCCTCACTTTCTCTCCCGCTCCGTTGCTATTTTTGAGGTGCCGTGTTTCCATACCGATGGAATCTGCGTCCATGATTCGTTGCCAGAAGTCCGATTTGTGAGATTACCCGCTCACAAAATGCCTCCAAGCAAAGACTAAAATAATAATAGTGTTAAAACAATGCCTCACTCTGCAAACACATCAGAGAAACTCGCAATTATCACGTCTCCTGTGATCGCATCCCTGTGGAAATTAATTGCTTTTTTAATTTAGTTTTTCCATTGATAAATCCTTTCGAGCTTAAGCGAGGCCGCCAATGAGAGACACGCGATTGGTCCACAGATCAGAAGGGTTAAGTTGAGTTGAGCTTCATGTTGGGATTCTTTCCCCCCGAGGAGGACAGAAAACTAAATCACACAAAACATTGTTAGAAACACAAACTCTCATCGACGCCCTGACGTCCCCCAAGCGATCAGAGTTTGTTGACTAAAACTGAGCAACCGGGCAAGATGGTGTTTGGCTTCATTTCACTTCCATCAGTAGGCTGTTACTGATGTAATGGGCAACCTGTATGAATGTGATTGTGTAAGAATCTTAGTTTCCACTTGCTGATTGTGTGGTGGTGGTCCCCCGGAGCCTCGTGAGTATGGACTCGTACCCACTCAGGTGTACAGTGGGAAGTATAAGCAGCAGGGGGGTGGATTTCCTAATGGACCCGGTTCACGTGCCTCAAACATCCCAAGACACACGCTGCACATTCCTCTGGCTGACAGCTCTACAATAATTAATATGACTTATTTGTAATACAACAGAAAATAATGAAGCTATGTAAACTGTGTGTTGTATTTGTGTCTGTGAATCTTTTATCTATTCTTGCTGAACACTGTGGACACACCGTTAGTAATTAAACTCATAAATATGACATGATAATGATGTTCACTAAACTGTCCCCTTTAATAACTGATGTGATTTAAACCTGGAATATCAATAATTGGCATCATATTCATCGGATTTACAGTTAATTTATGTTTTTTTATCTAAATGTTTGCTGGTATTTGTTTTCCTCTCCACTCAGGTCTGTTACTCACACGGGTCAGAGAAGAGACGGAATGGAGTTTCAGTGGAGTCGACAGTTTGCCGCATTCCCTCGTGATATCTTCAAATATGGCTGTAGGGGAGAGAGAATTAAAGGCATCACAAGAGGCCCCTTTGAAACCTTCCAGCACGGTATGAAATCACTGCGTGCGAGCACTTTGATCAGCGAACGGTCAAGCGGCAGCCCTGCAGTCGGCCATCGCCCCACATTACCGTTGGGGGCCTCATGCCCGGCACAGCTCTCACCCCTCCACCTGACCACCGTTTGATTTGCTCACTGAACTGATCTTCCGACAAATAAGCCTTCGCGCTCTGCCACGAATTCGTCTCTATCTCCCGTCACACATGCCTTGCCTTGCAGTGTCACCCCCCCACCCCTTCCTTTCAGCGTGCACCCGGCTGCCTCATACATCCAGACATAAACAGTGGGTACTGCACATCACACGAGCATAATTCCAGCAATTAACCTCTTCACCCACTGCGGGCTTTGAATCCCTCGATATTCTGGTCGCACCTCTTCACTCAGGAGCCGTCTTTGTCTGCCAGGCTCGATTCCAAATGTAGAAATAAATACAAAGTGACCAGTGGCTTGCCTATCTGACAACAGCCTAATGACCAATGATGTGCACTTTGATTTCAGATGCAGTGTGGACAGGGGCCAGGGCTGGTATGTCTGGGTAACACCGCTGAGGACATGGGCCTTCTTGACACTCTGCTGCAGAGGAGGAGAGCCGAGGGTTTGATAAAGGTCTGTGACATGAGGTGAATCTGTGAGTTATGAGCACATCAATGAGCAACTTTGTGTTGAATACAAATGCTTGAAAGAGCAAAGTAACAGAGCTGATCACGACAGACAGGCAAGAAAACAGATATTTTCCTCTTTGTTTACTTGTCTCATGTAATCTGTGCATGTCCACTGAAAAATAATTAATCAAATCTAAGGAAGTTAAAGAAATTAATGTGATGATTCAAAGGCTGCTCTGCTTGCAAATCGTATTCTATTTATAAAATCTTCATTTATTATAGAGGTTTATATAATTTTCACTGTTCTGTAACCAGCCTTAGTGAGTCGATACGTGTCCTGAGGTGAAACATGACTGATAATATCGCGCTGGTCGTAATAACCAGACTTCACCTTCACAATGAGTTGATCTATCATCTCTCTCTTTGCAAATAACGGCAAAACCTCTTCAAGACAGTTCTCTGCAATATGCTCTTTCAATGAATTGAGTTATGTCCCAATCAAACAAATCACGGCTTGTTCAAAACAGGTCGGCTCCAAACAGGGCCCTGAGTAATGGATTGAAAAAGTCTGTATTTGATTACCCCTGCCGCCCATGGTTGACTAAGATCCATTTGAGAGGTAGTGCGGTGGAATACCAATATGGACACCCTCCAGCTATTGACCCTGTCTTTAAGTGGGCGCTGTGCTTTTAGTGTACTTACACTGGTTGTTCCACATCTTCTTCCTCCTGGCAGTTTCGCAATACTTTTGATGGCAGACACTGACTTCCTTTCCCCTACTCTGCATTATTGATGCATCAGAGAATGTGGATAGCCTACTTTTTTTTTTTTTTGTCATAACCCACTCAGGGCACAGATGCGAGGAGATAAGAGGTTGGTGCCGGTGTGATTTTCAATGTCATTCCATCATCGTGATGAAAAGAGAGAAATATACGATGTTTTAAACAGGATCCGGCCTCGAGGAAAGAAATGCAAAGAAAGCTAAAAGTCAATAGTCTGTGGCTGATATGGAGATCGCCGATCAAAGATTTATCACTTATGAATAAAAATGAAAGCAGTGACAGGCAAGTATTTGTTGGGCGCCTTTAGATTTAAATAAATATGATTTGATCGTGTCTGCAGCCGGAGTAACATTAGTCTTCATTGACTTGAAAGTGAAGGACAAAAAAAAAAACAGAGGTAGCAGCATAAAGACGAGAAGAGTCGTGAATTTTCTATTTGCTACTTAACGTATACTTCTATCAACAATAGCTCACACGTGCACTAACAATGTATTTGGACAGAAAACGTGCCACAGAACATTTCAGGAGAAAATACTTGGACCTGTCTCTCAGCTTTGTTCTGTTCTTTTTTGTGGGTGGTGCAACAAATACATACATACACACACACAGAGAGAGAGAGAGAGAGAGAGAGAGAGAGAGAAGCAGTTCTCAGTTTGGTCTATAGATGGCAGTATTCCAACAGAAACAGAATGGGTTCAAACGTGTGACACAAAACTGTGTGATGGGTAAAATCCTCCTCTTTTTATACATTTGATGCACAATCCAACATTCAGTCGATTTAGGCGTCTGTAAAAAGATTAAGATTGTTGTTTTAAATCTGTTATTTCTTTTTAGAGACAGATCTCCAAACTGTAAATTACAAACTTCACACTCAGTGCGCGTGTTAGTGATGACACGATTTATATTGAGAGGATCATGTCCGGAGCACAGAGTGTTTTAAAATGATAAACTTCTCATTAGTGTGTATGTGATGTTTTAATATGTGACTATTTGCATCTCGTCCTAAATTGAATTCGATGTGTTTGTTGTGAAAGTTTTTGTCTCAGGGCGGAAACGGTTAACACCATAATAAGCCGTGAGAGTGTGAGGGGGCTGGGTTTAAATGCGCAGTGTGCCAAGCGCGCCGTACTCGCGCTACTGTACATGGATGGAGCCGCTAATCTGTGGCAGTCCGGCAGAGCTGTGTGAGAACGGCCAAACCACAACCGTCGGGACCATGGCACGTCTGGCCGACCTGTGCGCACAGTAGATCCGCCTGGAGGACTCCAAACCCCCCGCAAACTGAAGGAATGTGCCGCTGCGCTGACACGGTCCGGTGAAGTAACACCAGGAGGAGACTGGAGACGCTTGGCGACGCCGCTGCGAAGTTTACGCACAGAATTTGACGGTTTTTACGCGAGTGAATGACGCCGACGCGGAGCAGGTTTTCCTAGGCAGGGATTTTGGAAGAAGCGCCGAGGGTAAAATCATCCGAAGAGAGAGAGACTCTGTCCTTGGAAACATTTTTCTCTCTGTCCGCCGTGGATGTGAGTCCCGCAGCGCATCCGTGAAAAACCCAGAAGACATCAGCCGCGCTCGGGAGGAGAAACAGGATAACAGGGAGATCCACTTTAAATGAGGAGGTGAGTGAACCATCAATGCGCTTTTTTAAAAAGGCTGAATGTGGTTTTCACTGGGTGTAAATGTTGGTTTAAACCTCACACGACTGTCACATGCGCTACAACCTCCCCAGAATAACCAGCCAGTGTTCGGAGGGGAGCTGATTTCTGCGGAGAGACAAGTGAAGAGAGACATTTTTCATTTTTAGGCTGCAGGCTCTGATAAGGTGCCTGCCTCAATATTTCATCGTGGCTTTGGCACATGCTCGAGACCAATAAAATGCACGGTTTACTGTCTGTGCTTTTGGATTCATTGCACTGGAAGTGGAGCAGGATCCTTCACGTTTATGCTCTTTTCCCATTCATTCATTGGGCTTCCTCCTGATGCACCAGTGTTACCTCTGTTCCAGAGAAATGACACTTCCACTCAGCCTCATCCTCGCTCATGAGATGCTTCTGGTTTGTCTCAATCTTGTTCCACAGTATTTAATGATGGGACTTTACCTGTAGAGTTATTTTTGGAGTCTTGCTGCCTGCAGACATCTCACTGCTGGACTGTGCAATGATTTGGATTATTTGTTGACCTTGAGCTCAGCATCTCACTGCCATTCATTCAAAGAACTACACATCACACATAAACCGGTTTAGATGATATGCCTGCTGGTAGCATGCAGGCTGCAGACCTGGAGTCACTGCAACAAGTGAACCCCAAGTCAGTTGAACATGCAGCTTTTTATGGAAATAGTGAAATACTTCCATGAAGTCACTGATCTGGTTCCTTTTAAATTGTATTTAATTTCTCATCAGATTTGTTCTTCCCTTTCCAAATGGTGCAAAAAAAATCTCAAATTATTAAAAAAAACATCATCAAAAAGCTAATATATATAATATACAACCAATCTAATGTCAAACTAGCTAGCGTCAATTTAGGATCCGACATCCACTCTAGCCCTCATCTGTCCAATCCAGCAGATGAACCCACAAATCTTCATCCTCTGTCAGCCGACCAGCGCTCCGGCAAGCAGCCGTGACAATGACTCTAAAGAAAATAAATGTTGTGTGTTAAGTGGGAAATTGCCGAACATTTGCATGAAAATAACGTACATCTGCCGCAGTGGATGGGCAGCATATTAATCCCTCTGCTCGCACAATCAAAACCCCGTCTCTTCCTGGTGAAATCACAGTTTCCTTACATGTGAAGTGTTGGAGCGTGACCCTCTCACATCATTATTTTAATATCTATCTCAGAGTCAAACAACGGTCTGACCCAACAAACAGGCACCGGGGTGAAAATAGATGCTTTTAGAAGAAGAAACAAGAAACTCTGATTAAATTCAGCTAATTAACTTCAGTCTAATGAAAAAAAGAAGTGATGATGTGCTGGTACCAATGAGCAATCAGTCCTCTGACTAGTTATATGACTGTTTTATACATTTCTATTGGTTCTGCTTCGGCTCAAATCCACTTTGCCATTTGTGCACCGACATTAACTGCATATGACAGGTTTATTGCTGCTAATGCATTTCTTTGAAGACAAGATCATACGAGAGAACTGCTGTTAAAAAATATTTCCAAAGGTGTTGTTGAAAGTTAATTCTGAAGGCGACGACTCACAGTGGGTTTGTTCTCTTCTTAAATAATGGAGGATGTGAGCAGAGATGTTAAGCATTCATGCTCGATGAATCGCTTTCAAGTGATGCCTTTGAAGAACGCCTTTCGAGAAACACAACATCACACGTTCGTGAAATCAATAAGTTTAACCTCACCGAGCTGGAGAGGAATCGCTTCGACTGGACAAACTTGGATCGAGCTTCGTGGAGCGAGGGTTGTTTCTCTGCTGCTGCTGCTGCCTGTCTCCACTTCACCTCTCCGCAGGGGGGCTGCTATGTTTTCATTGGGTTCACGGAGAAGCTGTGTGGTCAGCGGGGATGGAGTGATTTGCATAAGTCTGTCCAGGACTATTCTTTAATAGCTGCTTTTTCACCAAGTTACGGATATTTCAGTCGGGATTGAGCTGCAGACGTTTAATCTCGACTTTCGGAACAGACACAATCGGCATCTGTCAGTATCTACGACAGACTCAACTGATAGACGCACATGGCTCAAGAGCGTCCTCTGTTGTTGAAGAGCAAGGAGACCAAACGGCGAGCTGAGTTAATTATCGGGCCGCAGCAACCTCTCTCCATTCACTTACGCTCTCTAACAACTATTACGACATTACCAACTAATTTCTTTAACTGCACGATTTGCCCCTGAATGAGATGTTGCTGCTTCTCTGTGTGCTGTGTCACCACCAGCGTTCACACACAGCGCACTGCTCGCTCCTCTCTGGATTCTCCCCTGAAGGCAGCCAGACTCACCACAGTTTAGCTTGAGAGATTTTGACAAGTCTCCACGCATGCAGGCAGAATCCTTGACCTATTTCTTAATGAGTGAATACTGCAAACGTGCTCGGCCAGTTTGTATTCCGAACGGGCAGAGTACCCCCCCCATGTGCACACACATGCAAACACACGAACACGAGCAGATAATGGTGCTTTTGTGAGTTCACTGACTCGTTCTCTCACAAGATACAGTTCCTCCTCCTCCTCCTATCGGCTGGAGTGCACAAATAGTGAGCGAGTGTTTGTTTGAATGAGATTGGCCTCCCGTCTCGCCTCACTGTGGGCTGTTTATCTGAACCCCTCAACTGTCCAGCTGTCACAACAGAGATCTCAATCCCCCTGACCCACGCACGTTCCGCTCCCTCGGCCTTGTTATGTGCATGTTTGTGTCTGGGGTCCTCGCAAACGGCGAGTGCGTATACGTGTGAGGATTGACACGAGGGAGATCTGGATCTGTGGTGACATTGATCAAGTGCAGTGCAGCCAGGGAGAACATTCAGTCTGAGCCTCCTTCTCTTCAACCGCACAAGAAGACGGTTACATTCACACTTTCTGTACTCGCCCTCTCTTCTCTGGATGATCGTAAACAACACAAGTTTTTCTACCTGTCTCTTGAGGCAATAATTATCCTCACACACATTCATCCATTGACGCTGTTGTTGGCCGCAGAGGAAATACTCTGATATCTTGATTGAGCGACTGTCTGTCTCTGGTATACGATGACACAGAACTTTAATACAATGACTCTGACGCTCGGATATCAGGCAGGTATCACTGCTAAAATTGGGAACTGATATTGGAGCGCTTCCACACCAGCAGCAGAGCTTATATTAGAAAGCAAAGCAAATTGATTTTCAGACTCTCTACGTTATATGGACGGATGATAGATCTCTTTTCTTTGAGAGAAAGATAGATTTTTCATTTACTTTGTCTGTGTCTGAATAAGAAGGGATGAAATATTTTTGATGCATGTCACTGCCCCTCTGTCTCTCTGCTTTGTACTAAAAAAAAGAATCAAGTCCTGAATGTTCTCTCATGAAGAATCTCCCCTGATATTAACATATAGATCTCGGGATGCAGAATTATTCTTCCCACACAATTGCAGATGTTGGAAAACACCACAGGGCTGCATTTAACGGTCGAGTCACGCTGCTGCAGCCGCCTTCATCATCTTGAGTAGTTGAGCACGTAGCTTTCAGTGACGTATTGAATCGTTGAAGCCATTTTAAATTGATGACTACAGGCCACTACATTGTTAAGTAGCAGCTTGCCCAGTATGAGCAACACGTAGCACAGGGTGCAGAAATCAATAGCTACCACCTTTGCATTTAGTTTTTCATGATACACAGTGAGACCAGAAAGAAACAGAACACATTCTCTGTTGTGATGTTTCACATCTGCTGTGTTTTTATTTCTGAGATTGGAGAGAGTTGGTTTCCCCATTTCTGTCACGATGCTGGCTGTTTGTTTTTCCTGTGGTGTTTGGGTGTGGTTGTGGGTGTGTGT